AATCATTGAGACATTTGGTGCAAGGGACTTTGTTTTTTTTTTTTTTTTTTGCCTTTACTGAAAACCTACAACCTACCTACTTATAACGCTACTGAAATCACTTCCCCCCAACTCTTATTCCACCATTTACTTTGTCTCAGTGAGGAAGTAGCATCATCTCCTGCTGTAGCAAGCACAAATGGGGTGGAGAGAGAGAGAGGGAAGTTGTCCCACCAACCTCGAAGTAGAACTTATGCTCCACATATTTCGGAGGTCCGAAAGCATCGATGATGGGAAGGACGAAGGAAGCTACTCCCTCCCCAATTGCGGAGAGGAGGAGCAGTGAGGACATAACTGAACTTCTAAATGGAAATCGTTGTTTTGATTTTTTTGTGTTCATCATTAACCATCACCCTGGGGCGGTTTTTTTGCGTGCAACTTTACCTCTTGTCCTTTATTTCAAAGTCGGTAAAGGCGACACTGGGCCGTCTAGACAAATAAGAAGGAAAATCGGTCAAATCCATTCACATTCCTCGCTAGTAATTAAGTTTAAACTCTAAGTAACATAGTTGTATTTATCATGTATTTCTGAAGCGGTATGTCACTTTCAGCCCTTGGAGGAAGGAGTGGCGTTTCAAAGGACGTGCTGTGATTCTCAGGACTGAGCAAAAATCGTGAAAGGTAAATGCTTGAAGAACAGAAGGAGGCTTTGTATCACCCAAGTGGTCGAGTGTGAGTCATACGAGAGGAGTTAAGTGACAAACAGAATTGGTATGAATGTAGTGGGAGGAGGTGGCATTTTACTTCGCCATTGATTGAAAAATTACCGTGAGAGAATCAGGCCTTTCTGCAATCTCCTGTTCTCATACTGTCAATAATGGCAAAAAGTTAAGCAACTGCTTAAAAATAACGGATAAAAAATAAAATTTTGGCTTTTTTTTAAAGGTTGCATTATCCATACAATTTAACTTTTCACACCTTGCTAAAGCTGGAATAATGCTGTGAGAGGTGTCGCTATGCCATCGACACTCTCACGCCTTTACCTTCTTGTCTGCTTTAATAGATTAATCTTTTCGCACTCTTTTTTTTGATTTCTATACATTTTTTGGAAAGCTGAAGAGTGATTAGAATTCATGTTTAATGCAGACATGAACAACTTGCTTTCTTAAAGGTTATACAAATATGGCATCACAGCAGACACAATGGCGTCTGGCAAAACTTATTTGTCACACCTACTCAATCGTAACTCCATCCTGACGCACACCCTCCTGCATTGTACGCTCAACACAGCATTTGTTAGACAAGGCTAACATTGGTCTGCCGGAATTATCAATCTGTAATTTTAGTTATTATTTTGCAGTGTCCAACGAAATGAATTCAGCTAATGCTCTGCCTGCGTTAGCTAAAGTTCCCCTAAGCATTTCTTTAAATGTCACCTTGTCACAAGAGTTAGTGGGCTAACTTATTGCATGGAGGGAGAAGTGCAATCCTTTACCTTCAAGTGTCACTGATGTGGAGTCACAAATTGTCACGACGAAAACGAATGGTCTCCAACTCCAAGGAGCAGATGGAATTATAGTGGCGGGATGATAGCAGAAAAAATGTACTTAAGGATTAGAATGATTAAATGATAATGCAGCGGTTTGCCATTATTTACGGTTGAGAATCCCATAAATACTTTGTTTTGGGGTAGTACAAATTATAAGCTTACTTTGATTAATATGATTAGTCTTATCTAGAATACTCTGAAGTAGACTATCGCTTTTCCGTACTATGACTTGAGCATTTTAAAATGTTCGAGTAAAAGAAAACTAATTATCCTTGAATTTTTACTGCCTATTTTTACAATCCTTAAAAAAATCCAGATTACTACCAACTTCACACCCGCTAAACCATAGATCATGCTTTAAAGGGATCCATAACCTCCTGAAGTACGCAAAACATGCCAATTTATAAGCAAGACATAACTAAACGAACAAGTTTCGAGAAAAGCAAAGCAGGAATTAAATCCTTGATAGTGAGCGATGCGTTCCGAAAGAACGCGAACTCAACATAGAGGTGCCCGAAACTATTTCCACTCTCCGACCACAGATACGACCAATTTGCCCGACCATTTAATTGTGACACCTTTACTCCCCAACCTTGGGCTGTCAAGGTTATAAGACAATCGATTCGAAGGAATAGATGGCAAATTTTCATTTAGTGCAAAAAAACTAAGAATTTACAACATTACTAGATTCCCGCAGAAAATTACGTATGCAGAGTTTTTTCAACTGACGCATGCGAAACGTCATCAGATTTAGTCGACTAGCGTCAGCTATTGAAACACTTCAATTTATAAAAGATGCTTTATGGAAATTTAACAAATAAGAATTCATTACATAGAGTGTGGTACTCAGAATGGCAAATAGGACACCAATTACAGCATGCACAATGTGGTGGAAAATATTGATAGCTTATATATCAAATAAAAATACAAAATGTCGGCTTATGAATGTGGTATAGTCTGTATGCATTCTATTTATTGGAAAAAGCGAAAGGACAAAAAAATTTCATGTACGTGCCTTTTAGTTGATTTTTTGCGGGGTTGTAGTCCATGAATGCGTTTAAATCTTTTGTGACGAAATTCTTCGAAAGTCCCCAATCTCCGTCTGAATGTTTTCTGTATTGTATTCCACTTTTGTGCTTTCATCGAGCAATGCTGAGACAAAAGTAAACTAAGCTGCCACTGCAAAGGCGCCTTCGTAATGCACTGCCAATAACTTACGCTATGGGTCATTGATATATGCATGCTCAAACATCAGATCAGAGGGTGGTGCGCAAATCGCATATAAAATTGACAAGAGAATAATTACTTATCAGTCGCAAAAGCCACTTTTCAGTCCAATGCCTTATACGCAAACTCAATGATCATGAACACCATTAATGGCATTTTTGTCCGAAAAATTTAGAACAATTTCCTGTTCCCTGTAAAATTGACACATATTGCAGTGGATGGAATTGGCCTTTTTAAGCTTGCAATAAAAGCTTAGTAGGAACATAATCACTGGCAATATGGAAAGATATGAAATCGCATGCGGGACCTTTCACGACCTGAGCTACAAAACCTTATATCACCAAATCTTTAAAATTCCAACTAAGATTTTTGTAGTGTTTTCTTTAGGCATCGCTAAAAGTATATATTTGATAGTTATATTTGGTTCATTCAGCCCCACAACTTGTGAAGCAACACAAATTTCAAAGGTGCTCGTAAGCGTAGGTCGAACCATCCTTCCTATCTTCATTGAAACATAAAATGTTACTTAGTTTCACAATATTTCTAGTTCCGAAAAGCCCTTTACTCTCAAAAAAGAGATAACTCTGTTATAAACTTCGTGGTTATCTTGATTTGGGTAACCTTTAACCACCGTTCTGACGTTTTAGTGATCAGTTTCATTAACGCTAGGTTTAAAAACCTTAATATATCTTTGACGCGGAAAATCTTGCAGCTGATTGGTTTGCAGCCAACCAATTGATAGTTGATTCAAACATCCAGACGCATAAATAACGCATAATCGCTTTGATCTGCAAACTCATGTGAAAACTTAGGCTTTACTTTCACCGTTAATTAAAAAGCCTTTAAGGCAGTGTACTTCACTTTCATCCTCACAAAATTAGCCGGTTTCGTGAGAATGATTAAGTTGCAAACCAATCGTCGAAGTGCATTTTATTATTGCGGTAACTCTCGGTGGGCTTGTTGGGGGGTCTGAACCTGCGCAACATTCTTTACAGTGGGTGAATTGATATGCTTCACCGTTGTAGCAACGAAGTAGAGTAAAACGCTAATTTTTCTACACTTTTACCTCGGCTTCATATCCACATCAGAATACCTTAAACTCGCAACAAATGCTTATGGTTTCCAATGATCACAACCGCGTAAATCTCCCACGCGATTAGGCTAAGATCTTTTTGCAAACAATGGCTGCTTAGAAAGTGGGAAGAAAAGTCGCATTTACAGATAAGTTTCTTAATTACATATTGCATTTAAAATGTCAGAAAATGGGCTCAAACGCGCTGTTGAAGGATTTTGGGAACCTGTTGGGTATAATAAATAAAAAAATGCTCTCGCTCTTCTTTACTACGGCCTACGTTGCATTTTGTACATCCGATCTCTTTCAAGACGGTCTGAAGGCGGCTGTCACGCATGAAGGCCACGAAAATGGGAATAATAGGGAGCGAATTTGGACTTATGAACAATTATCGGTTTCGTCAAATATGTCAAGATGGAGTTAAGCTCAAAATCCCACTGATATGATTCAGTTATCTTTTAAGGTTAATGCGGACGCACCTTATAAAAAGAACCTCCCAAAATAAAATTACAACGATTCGCGGTACCTCCTATGAATGCAACAAGGGTAGGTTTTGTTTACCTCAATCTAACACGCAAGGTACAAATTCCAGCTGCGATGTCAACGGCCATCCAGTTTTAAAAAAGCATTCAGACTGTAGTTTCTACTTATATTGCATAAGTACACAAGTTTTATACATTTTAGCTTTTGCACTTAAGATGTGTGTTTGCAATAAAACTGCCACAGTTTATGTATGCCAGTGACGAATCTCATTAAGCGTTCTGGAAAAATCGGAAAAGCTAGCCGGTTATGATGATGATTTATCGTTTGCTAATTGTTTTGACTATATAGCGGATGACACAAACAGGTAGCATTTAAAAGATCGTTCAAATTCCATCAAAACATTCTTTAATAGGAAAATGCAATTTCTTTAGGATCCAAAGGATTACTGAGTAGGAAAATAGAAATTGAATGCCAACAATTTTTAAATTAACTTAGAAGGCATCGAACGTCCGAGTAAATTTCATGTGTTTTGCACCATGCCTCCCTAGCGGGTAAGCAGCCTCGAGCCAATGCGCGCCTCCACGCGAGACATTACAAAACAAATGTTATTTACTTCCAAAACGCATTTCTTTGCTGGCTTCTGGTGGAATTCTGTGCATCGTGATGATCTCTTTCACATACTTCAACATTCAAACGAGTATTAGCGAATCTACTCTCTGCCCATGCCACACATATGCAGGCCGTACTGCCTGCTTGCTCGGCCACCTCCACAACTTCAGCTTACATAGTGAAGGTTAAAGTTGGATCTACAATCCCGCCTACTAGCACCGAGATAAAACCATTACGAGCTCGGATGATGCACATAGGCGTACAAATTGAATAGTCGATAAACTACCCAAGTTGGGGATTGAAGTGGTCTCCTGTGCCACCTGTACAGGGTGAAGCTCAGCTCTAACCACACATATTAGGTCTTGTGACAGTATTGGAACTGACAACCTGCCACTGAGACAGGGGTAGACAGCTGTCGCATACCATGTCTGTCTGATGATCAACGGTACTTAAGATGGTTTCGCCTGCCTTTATGCTTTACATGTGGAAACTAAAGACATAATTGCTTGATATGAAAAATCACATTTTCTCACGAGTTGCGCATTCGTCATCTTTTTTTCTTCACGACAGAGAACTTTCTTTCGTCATGGAGCAACAGAACTTGATACGATGAATTGGATGATGACTCAAGTTGGAGTTATTGCTGAGTCGTCGATGATACAACGATGATAGAAAAGTCAAAAATGCCACAAAACTAAAGCCGTTCGATGTCTTACAGTTAAAATAATTACGACACCAAGTATAAGTGTATAAACGTACCTCATCATGACATTATTTTTCCTATTGAAACGAGGGAATTCGAGTTTTGTCAGTTGCCTCACAAAGTGAGGAGCCCGACGGTGACGCTTCCTGCCGAAGTTCAAATGCATCTTCAGACGCTGTCTAAGGCTGGCTCCACCTCCCCTATGCTCCATTTTCCTAGACTGGTGAGGTTGGAAGATGAACGCAGAATAGAAGGTGGCTTGCGTTCCTTTTATAGGCACGGTGGCGCAGCCCACCGATTGGTTAGGCTTGAGCACACACAGATACACGCAGGTAGACATTAATACAAACACCTAAGCACATTCAAACTATGAACGTCACAGGAAATCCCGGTAGTCCAATTCCATTTGGAGGGAAGTCTCAAAAAATCAGTCTTCGAGGATTCCCAACTTCCGTGAGAGCCAGAAAGCTCTTGTGGTAATCTTGATGAAAATCGCTCCCCTCAAACGTATGCTAATGCTATTGGCGGTAGGTGGTATAAATTGTATACAATCTCTAAAACCACTGTGTTCATCTGCTGATTGAATAAGCAGTAGAAGAAGAAGGCCCTTTTGGGTTAGGAGTGGCGTATCTGCTTTTATGGAGGATATAAATTCAAATTATGGTACTACGTCATGAGTAATGAAATGCTTCATTTGCAACTTTTGTTCTAAATTACTCATCGGCTAATCTTGGAGTGCAAATCACTCAAACGATTAACAACTTGTACTCTATCCTACTGGCCACATTTTTGGAATGCATGTGAGTTGGATATAGTGAAATCTTCGAAGTTCAGGATATTGTAACGGTTGAAAATGTGGTGTTAGCTTTATAATGCTCCAGCAGCTGGGTGTGCTGAAATTGTTATAAAGAGCAGGAATTTCGCGTACTGTATGAAGCCACTAACGCTTTCAGTGAATTTTGGATGTATCAGACATATAATAGAATAAAAGAAGCTGTACTGTGGTTTGGCAGTAAAAAGTAAACAATTACAGGTTAATTTATTCTTAACAAAAATTAAGAAGTAACAAGACTACACATTTTCAATCTGAACACAGACTCTGATGATCAAGAGACTTGGAGAAACAGTTCATGCTCATAACGAAGCACGGTGTTAATCAGACAGCTGCATAAATGGGGGGCTCAGGAGTCAGTGAGATGGAATTTTTCCCCAAATACCGGCTTATTAAGATTAATAGGAGGTAGATTTAAATCATACTTTAAAGACAAAATACTACTGTCAATGACTAATTATGCAGAAGTTGTATAAAAATGTGTTCCCGTAATTATTGATTTATCCGTTTATCTTTTATGAATAAACATAAACATTGATAATCGTCAAATCCCACTAAACTAAAAAAATTAAAAGTTGCACACTTCTTTACTTTAAAGTACAATTTTGAATAGTCAAAATTGTCTTTTGAAAACTGTTGTTTAATTTTATCGTTTTAGAGGTTCACACTTTCAGTAGGCCCTCGGCTTCTGTGTTGTGTCTGGTTTTAGTGTCTGGTAGGTTATTCCGCTTCTTTGCATTGTCACTCAATTTTTGTCAAAAATGCTGTGGAATTTTTTGAACATATTATGTCTGAGCACATTTTTAATAGCAAGAGTCTCTTCATGTCTTCGGGAGCCGGTGCGATTCCGCCCAGTGCCACGGATCCCGAGTTAGAGGCGTGGTGGGAGGAATTTCTGGCTAAAAAGAAAATTGAAGATGCTCAAGATGAAGACGCTCGCCTTACTTGGGAGACATGTGCTCAAAGACGGCTGAAATTTATTCGTGAAGTTCGTCTCCTCACTGACCTTTATGAGCCGATTGGAAAACTTGTTCATTCACTTCTTTCTGCAGACCATCACCACAGAGGAGAACGCCTCTATGCGGAATGGTGTAGGCTAATTTGTTAAATTTTTAACATCATTTCCTTTATTTGATATAATTTTCCCTCTTGTGGTTGCCAGGCAAGTTCAGAAGGAAGGAGTGCCTAATGGCTTACTATGACAACCAAATTTTCCGTGCAATATACACGAATTATCGCTTCTTTGGCAGTGCTACAAGCTTTCTGCAGGTAATTTTCTCGCAATTTTTTTATTGCTAGATTTAACTATCTACTCCACACATTGTTTAACACTTGCCTAGTCTTCTCATTTGAATTTTTGGATGTCTTCTTTGCTTCGCTTTCGCACATTCTTGTGTCTTGGGGCATCAATCATTGGGTTGCTTACAATAATAATTGTATGCATGTCTGCAATCTTTGTTTCATCAGGTCATGTGAACCTCCGACTGCTTTGTGCATTTCTTTGAAAGTCCAGACGGTTTAACCGGTTGAAACCTCGTATCTGCTCTCCTCTTCTGCAGCATATCCCATTCTTACTGCAGTTCTTATGAAATGGGTTCGTTTTAGGAGTTTACCTGATTATTTATCGGTCTAAAAGCTGCTTAGTCGTCGTCCCTTTCTATTTGCTATTAGTTTCGCTTTATGAGGCTGTAAAAGATATCTTACAAGTTCCTTCTTCGGTCATACCATTCATGTTTTGACCATTTATTGAAGGTATTGGCGATGGTATAGTCTTTTGTTAAGCTTTTAAAAGCGTGCTTGCGCGAGTTCAATATGCTCTGGTTTGACCGGGTTTTCTGCATCATTATATAAGGTTGTAATGTTTAAAACTCTGTCATTTCTTCTTGGTCACATTTAGTTTTTATTTCCTTAGCATTCATTTACAGGCATAATTGTTCCTTCATAAAAGGCAGTGTTTGCATTTTCTCTCAGGTTTTGTCTTTGTTGCTGTGCTTGTCTCTGGTTCGGTTAATTTATGTCATATTAAACATTTCCTTTTGCGATCTGAGCTCCGATTTAATTGGATAGACTAGTTTTTTTTCTGTGTTGTTTTTCAAGCCATCGACTTAGGCATTTGAAATAAACTAAGCCTGCATCGTCATCATCTGGTTTTCCGCGTTGTTAGAGCAGCATCGCTGAATAAACATTTCGAAAATTCAATATCACTGATTCGAAAGGTCTTCATTGCGGTCTCCACATTGGACCTACAATCAAATCCCTATGTTGGTGGATGACTTTATGTTTCTGGTTTAGTTTGTGGTTATCCTTCTTTCAGTTGCTGTATATCAGCTTTGTTCTAAGCTTGAACTTTTAATCGTGCTTCTGAGTGTGCCCTTAAATGTGAAATTAATTCAGCGACGCATGACCCGTTTGGTTCACGGGAGCGCAGCTATCAATAGAATCCAAAGTGCTAGACTTTGCTTAATAGAGAGCGAGAACTTGCCTTCCAGCAGACAATTGTCGTTCAGGCTTATGGTCACACGCCCCCACTAGTCGGTCGATTTCCACTGTGGGCGTCGCGCAGGAATTGCGACAACATTTGGCAATTATGATGATTGGTGTGTATTTTTCTTGGTCGTGACAAATGTCCTGTACCTTTAGTTTTGGACAGATTTTACTAAAATTGATAGTGTTTGCTGCCTCGAGTTGAACAAGCTTCTTCCTTTTGAAAGTGGTCCACGTGGTGGGACATCTGGAACTTCTTTCATTATGTGATGCTTCAATGACGTACGCCGTAAGCCTATAATTCACAAGTTCTTATTGACAGCATGCCTTTTTCTTCCTTAGGCTAAATGGAATACTCACTTTTTATGCCTCTGAAACACAATATCATTCTTCCCTTCCTTTATGACGAATTTTATTTTCCTTTATAAAATGACTGACAGATTCACCGATTTTTTCCTCCTCTATTCTGCTTTTCAACTTCAGTAATTTGGTGGAGCATTGAATCGTTGGGCTATTTAAACCCGATTTTAGGTTCTTATCGCCCTCATTTCCATCTACTGGTGTAATGCATTGAGTTTTCTGGCTGAGCAGTATCGTCTTTCACCCCTCTCTTATGGTCTAGCCTTAGTACCTACTTTAAACGCATTCTTTATTATTAAATTCCCCTTAAGAACCATCCACCCTATCGCGTTTTTGATTTGCCATCGTTTCCTTTCTACTACTTTGTGTCCCGTCTTCTCGATTCACCTAACTGTCAGGACCAGTCGATCCACACTACTTCATTCGCTGTTCGCATATTTTCTGAGGTCACGTCTTTGATTAATGATTACTTATCTGGATTTTACGTCATTACGGACCAACACTTTTCGCGACTTTTTACCTTTTGTGGGATTGTGCGTGTCCTACATCCCCTCCTCGGCATTGCGGAGGCTACATAACATCCATTCATGCCTTCCAATCAGGTTTCTGTAGTCCACTTGGCTTGTTGAAATTGAAGTTTGGGACGCTTCTTCCACCTCTTGTAGGCGCTTATAGAACGTATCATTCCGGAGCATCCAGACCTTGAGGTCTACCTTCGGGAGCACGTTAGTCGCGTAATAAGTGTTGGTGTTGGCCCTGGTCCTGACATTGCTGCGTTCCTATCCTTTGCTCGTTGTCGCGGCTTTACAAATCGTCTAGTTTACTACGCCATAGATCAGAGCGAAGGATGGTCAACTTTCCTCAGTGCATTTGATCGTCACTGGTCTATGGTGCACAGTATTTCTGTGTGGTTCAAATCTTGGCGATTTGGCAAACGAGATGATGTCGCGTGTCTTCCGGATGCGGATATGATGGTCTTTAGCTTCTCCAACACCTCTCTGATGGATAGGGCAATATGGCCACTGTTGCAACAGCGGTACAGATTCATCCTCGTATTGGATGGAATGAAAGATGTAAGTAGACATGCCAAAAGTAGCTTGAATTTGTCAACTCCTTTGCCTTCGAATGACACATGAGTGTGGTTGCATTTTATTGGTTGTTTCAATGCCTTGAATACATGTTAACCGGGACTAAAGCATCACAGTTGAGGAGGCAGAGCCCTTACCAACTGATTGGATGAATTGTGATTGAGTAGTGGCGTAGGGTCTGGGGAATAGTTGTGCATTCCATGAAACTACTTGGCTCATTGCCACATTCATCGCCTCATTCCATTCCCTTCTACTTGTAGATGGTAGTGATGAATTTTGGGGCTGCAGGCTTCTCCGACTTTCGACTTTCGGAGAAGACTACCGTCTATTACTACTATACGGGACTTCCCGCCTCTCCACAAAAATCTGGAGATGTCGAGACCAAAGAATGAGTATTCACTCTATTGTGCGATTGGCTTGCCCTTCACCTTCATTCTGTACACACACGCTATGAGCATTAGCCCTCTTTCAATCGTGCTAGAATGTAAAGTAAGTCTTTTATACAAGATTTTGGTATTTCTCATTCCCTTTTCTTACTTATCATCCTGTTTGGACACTTTATACTTGTTGCAATGAAATGTGGTCGCTTCTAAATCACCGGGCTTTATAGCATAAAGACACTTCAATGCGATTGGATGAACGAGTGCAAGGAATAGGGAAGTGAATGAATGATCCCCACGCTACCTGTGGTGTACTAGAGGCACAATGTGAGAGGCATTTTAAAATTGGTTGGGAAGAGATGAACTGATTTAAGTGGACGAAAATGCGGTTAGGCTTAGAGGCTACTCATTGATCAGAAATGGAGAGGCGCCGGAAGTGACGGGAAAGAGGAACGTGTGACTGGACCGTGAACTTGATGGGGAGAAATAGGACGTGTGACAGTTAAGAGTTACATGGATGACGTCACATTTTTCTTCATTTAGTTCAAAACCTATAAGTCAGCCGATCAGTAGGAGGAGATATCAACCAATTTACTAACCAAATGGTCATTCAACAATGGAATAATGGGGAAATGGTGTTGGTGGTGGTGTTTGCTTTTTCTACTTTACAATACCAGTACGGAAGCAGTTAATGACATTTAGTAAGCATTAGCAAGGAGGACAGATGTCGCACCAAAATTTTCAAGATTCCCTACAAGAACTTCTAGGTGTTGTCAAGATTTAAAAATTTCAGCACCACAAGTGCTAAGACACAGAGCAGTGAAAGAGACGATCACGTTCGTAAAAGTCCTGCCTCCTTGCTGATGGGGTGGTAATAGTGTAATTGGAGCCTGCAATGTAGACCAATCAGAAAACAGGATTCCAACCGATGTTGTCTTACTTGACCATTGGTTAGTTTACTTTAAGGGGCAACATGGTTAGCCAATATAGCATTTAGGTAGATTTTAAGAGGGTGCAGCAGTTTGGCGTTGCTGCAGCATTCTCACACATGAAAATTAGTAGTATTTACTGTAACTCCTTGCTAAATAGGGTAGCTACACGGCTGGCGGTCACTTTAACTTTTATCTTGCCTTGTTTGTGTGAACTAATCTTTAGTCTAAGCCACAGCTCACTTCTAACCTTTTCGCGTTGAATACGTACATTTAGCTCCACTTAATGTCCTCTCCTGCCGAATAGGAAGCCTCGAGTAGTTACCCTCCCTTTCCTCGTGTTAAGGATGACTCTGCATTGCTCGATGAGTTATAAGTAATCGGGATGATTTGCTGATGATTCGTTCCTGATTTCATGTGTAATTTTTTTGTAATTTTCCCTCGACCTCGTTAAGCGTCTTCTCATTTGACGTCGTGACAGCTTACATGTAAACCGCTTCAACATCATTCCAAAGTACCTTTGTACCACAAATGCGGGCGACGCATGAGTTGGTGGCACCAAGAACCGACGGCAATCCTCCACCCTCCACGCATAAAATTGCCTCACAGCGCCCTCATTGACATCTTGTTATAGTGTCAAAAGTGTAAATGGATGATGTTTCGCCTCTTATCTACAGTACCAGTGAATTGTTGCTTCGAAATTGCCTCGTGTTGCAAAAATACGGTTCACTTGTGGATGTTAAAACAGAGGGAACATACAATACTTGTAGTGGATTTATTGTTTCTAGAAATTGATGGATAAAATAATACCATATGTCGGTGCAGTTTTCTTTCAGTGAATAATCATGACCGGTGAAAGCGAAGGTCAGCAGAGAAACGTCATTGCGGTGCAACAGGCAAACTCCTTATCCCAGACACCTGTCTCTCCAACCCTTTGCTTGTCTAAGTGAAGCGCATACACCCACTCATTTGTAACCCACAACGTCTGAGACGCGCCCTCTCCGCATCACCATAGTTGGTTTGAAGATCCTTCAGGATGTACTGAAAGCTAATTTGGACCTTCGACTCAGATCGTCGACATGCCAACCACTTCATGTTAAACCACTTGTTCTAGTTTGCCCCAACTTGTATCCACCAATTTCTAACCCGCTCTTTTGTCAATCCATCGGACCTCATCAATTTGACGCCTGTTTGTTTCAGGTGACCACCACCCACATCTCCCACTTTTAAATCATCCCTTCACATGTCGCTTCGTTGCACCTCTCTGCGCAGTCCACATTTAACCACTTTCATCCTTCCACCACTCATTCACTCATCTTCCCTTCATTCAAACAAACAACTAGTGAGTTGGGACAATTCACAGCACCCACTTGAGGCCTGAAAGCGGCAAGCTTCCTTCGCCGATCTACACCTGCAAGTCGAAGAACTTGCTGTAAGTCCGAATGACTTCCAACCCACAAGCTATGATTTATGGAAGTATTAGTTGCAGCGTAGAAGAAGGTCGCCTAACCATACAATTCTCACTCAAATTTATACACCATACCAAATAACACGAGTCTGAAAAGAAAAGTCAAACCGTGACCATATAAGAGGTGTTTTGAGACGATAATGGGTGTGAGAAGGCTCCTTCTCGCACACTATGAGGCCGCAGTATCCTACATCAATTCCTCAATCATCACCTGCGTCACTAAGAACAAAAAGGATACGTTTACCAGACAAGTACGTCACACGAATGGTAATGAAAAGTGGACAGCAGAACAGAGGAACGGCGTGGTTTCAAGAACTCGCACTCCTCACTCCTTCAAACACACAAACATCGCCTCAGTGCATGTGTCAGTGACTTCACATGGCTCCACTTACACTGATTTAAAAAAATAAAGCTGTCAGTGATGTTTGACAATGGCAAGCTGTGAGCGAAAAAAGAGGCACTTGAAAGTGCACCGTCGTCAAATCATTGTGTGAAATTGATAATAAACAATCATCGATTAAGACTTGGGAAAAAAAAATCGACGTGTCAAACTCTCCTGCACTTGCCAACAGTTTAGCATTTCGGCAATTCACTCCACCGAAGCCAATGACAATCCACCACGTGGGATTAGGGGGCGGGAGGACAAACGAGGGAGGAGGAAGGGGAGGGGAAAGACGAAGTACGTTCCAACGCTTTAAACGGCAGTTGGTTTACCCGCAAAACATGCGATGATGAGTTTCGTCTCAAGCGAACACAACGAATTTTACTTCAACAAAAGCACTGACATCACTAAAAAGCCAAAAGCAATTGACGGTTGTCATTCCAATCGCCAAGGGTAACTCCACTGTTTGCCTCCAAACTGCGTAGATGCACACAACAACTGGCAGGCACATCGAACTACGTACACTCTTCACCGAGGGCAACATTGGTCATGGAGACAAAATTACGTGCACGCACAACATTTCAAGCGACCACACGCCTTGTCACACGCGCACTTCACTCCTCTCAGCCCACGTCTCAAGCCACCGCAAAGTTGAGACACACCACATGAGATACTCATTTCAGTCCTAACAAAAAAATACAACCGGCTTTAGACGCAATCCCGTCACCTCCTCCTCCCTCCTCCAGTCAGAAAATCTTTCCTTTGACGTCTAACAGCCACAACTCGAACAGAGAGTCCCTAGTCAAAGCGTTCACAACTAACGCAAAGACGAGATTCGCATTCACTGCTCCTCGTCG